GTGTGTGTGTGTGTGTGTGTATGTATGAGAGAGAGATAAGTTTTGGAAAATAGATTAAGTTTTAGGAACATATTAAGCTAAGCACCAACTAAACACCATTCTCTGGAGTGAGAACATAAGAAAACAAACAAGATAAGATGGAAATAAATTTTCTCCTCCTCTATCTGTCATTTAACAATTGTGGCACAAGACATCCAAGCATAGAATAGTCTTAGTATCAAAGACCTAGGCTTTTCATTTCTTATACCTCTGCCATATTTAAGGTGTTGGCCATGTTCTTGAGGTTCAGGAAGGCTTGCCAACACTAGACTGCCTTCCAGCACACAGAAAGTGGAAGAGGGAAGGAGAAGCATATCTATTCATTTTAAGGGGATGTTCCTGAGATTAAGGGCATCTCCCTAAGATTTAGTCACAAACTGAAAATTATACAACTAATATTTACTCATATTTCTTTGAGAACTTTACTCATATCTCTTAGCTCCTATAGCTATAAAGGGAGGAACAGAAAAATGTAGTCTTGATTTGACACACACAGCTGAAATCTGGAATTATATTTTTCTGTAAGTTATTGGGAGACAGAAATCATCTCTGACAGAAGGAATGTTGTTGATCTAGGCACTGACTGCATCAATTAGCTCAAATTTGAGAGAGGAAGAAAGAAATGTTTTATAATCACCCTCTAAAATTTCAAACTACCTAACAAACAAAACTCAACACACATATATTGTCCTCCTTCAATCTGTTACAATACGCTTGCTATGCAAGTGCAGCTTCAAGATAATTCCAAATCCCCACATCCAAACAGTTTGCTCTCATCAAAATAGAAATTCTAAAGCCACTACTATTCCATACACACTTTATCTTTTGAGCATTTCTTTTTTATTCCCTTTAACGTTAGTCATTTAGTTGTTGGTAATCCACAAGGTTCAGTACTGTCCCTCTACTCTTCTTCCTTTACTGCTCTCCCGTGGCAATTTAATTTATTCTCATCTTCCAACCTGCTCCCAGATGATTAAGACGTTCAAGCATGTATCTCATGACTTCCAGAGCCAAGTAACTCACCTCCTCTGAATATGTCCACATGGATTCAATCAACATTTGTTAAACCTTCCACATGACATCATTTATTAATTAAAAATGTATCCAGCCTACTATGTGTCAGTCACTTTGTTAGACATGAGTATATGAAAAACATAAATTTTATGCTCACGGAGAATATAACCTACAGGAAGATGGAGATGACTGACAGGCATGTTACACGGTAAATATAAAAAGTGATAAAGCATGAGGTGCTCTAAGACTACTTAAGAGGTAGTGAAGACTCTGGAATCAGACAAGGCTTCCTGGAGGAATTGATGTATAAAAGGAGACTTGAAAAAGTCTGAGGAATATGTTCAAGGCAAAACAACACAAAATAAAACATATCCCTAGGTTAAACATAGGTTAACATAGCAAAATGAGTAATTATAACAGATTAAGCTGGGGAGGCCTCATGAAGGTCTTGTAATCCATGGTAAGGGTTTTAATCAATAGACACAATAGAGTCACTGAAAGTTTTCATGCAGGAGAGGGTTACATAACTAGGTTTGAGTTTTCAGGAAATTACTCTTGTCACAATGTGTAGAATAGGCTGAAGGAATGTTAGAATAGAGACGGAAAACCAGAGAAAATCTTTACACTATACCAAGAGAAATGGGTCTCATAGAAGTCTTAAAATGTAAACATTAACAAGTGAATCTATAGTCTAACTGAAAACCTATTGCATCTTTCATAACTCTCTAATGTAGGAAAAATCACTGGATTTTAGCTAGCAACTCAACTAGAAAACAAGGAGTATAGTCATTCCTCAGTAGCTATGGGGGATTGGTTCCAGGACCCCCTGTGGATACCAAAATCCACAGATGCTACAGTCCCCGTAGAAAATTGCATGTCTGCATATAACCTATGTACACCCTTCCTTGTACTTTAAATCATCTGTAGATTACTTATAATATCTAAAACAATGTAAATTCTAAGCAAATAGTTGTTATACGGTATTGTTTAGAGAATAATGACAAGAAAGATGGCTGTATTTGTCTATTAAGGGCACAACTATGCATTTTTCCCTAATATTTCAATTCATGGTTAGTTAAATCCATGGATGTGGAGCCCATGAACACAGAGAGCTGCGTGTTTTCTACAAAGCCCACATCTACATTTCTCTTTCCTTCAGATTCTCAATGTCCTACATATCCTACCTCCCTACTGTCTCCAATATCTATAACTCCCTCTCCCTGAACATGCATGATCCTATTTTAGACCTTCAATATTTCTCACCTGAAAGATATCAATTAGCTCTTACTAGTCGTCTTGTATCCACTTTCACCCCATTGCAATCTATTTTATACAATACTTCCCACAGCAGTCTTCCTCAAACTCAAATGTACCCATTTTACTCTCTGGCTAAAATACCCTTGAAGTAGTTTCCATGGCCTTAGAATGAGATAAAAGGCTGCACATGAACTGGAGTCTATCTAACCATGCTGATAAACAATTGAACCCCAGGCCAGAGATACATCAGTCCACAATTTGTTGTTCTCCATATGCTCCATGTTGCTCTTGATAACTGTATACCTTCTGCTTAGAATATGGCCTTTCCTTTAGGCTAATTTGCAAAGCTTGACTTGATTCTTCTTCCCAGTGAGCTTCTCCGACTCCTCTGATATCAGTGTTTCCTTTCTTTTTACTCTTAGCTTATTTTGGACTATTTCTTTCCTAGCACTTATGATATTTCACTTCAAATATTTGTTTACATCCCTGCTTATCCCTCCACATTCTGAGCTGATTGTGTGCATGTGCTTTTTAAAAAACAAACAAACAAAAATATGCCACTTAACACAGATTCAGACAAAGGTAAATACTCACTATCACCGGGTTCATTAAATGAAAGAATTGATTTAAAAAATTGTGAATAGTAACAGAAGTGGACCACACTTACAGATTGTATAAGGAGGAATACACAGATTAAGAATATAGTAAATTTTGAATGAAACAGAAGTTTAATCACAATATTGTAATATAAACGTAACTTTGAATTATATAAATTGATGCCTTTTGCACATAAATCTCATATTACACTATTCTGGACTGCATATATAATCATCACTTAGAAGCACTTACTATTGGACAGATCTTATTCTAAGAACATTTCTATATGTTAATTTATGTAGCTCACATAACAACCATGTAAGTAACCATGTAATTATTATTCTCATTTACAGATGAGGAAATTGAGTTTACATGAGGTATAGCACTTTACTGAAGATCATACTGTTAGCAAGTAGTAGTAGAGATGAGATACAAACCCAGGCAACCTAACTCAGAAGTCCACACTCTTTACTATTAAATTATATTGCTTAATCTCTAATGAGATTTTTTTCAAAGACACTTATGTCTAAATTGTGTATTTTTCAATAAAATTAATCTAACCCTTGCATTTTACTGGTGAAGTCCCTAAGATCTTTATGAATTTTAAAGTTACATCATACATTAAAGTGTTTAAATTGCTTAAGAAGTGGCTATACATAGAGAAAAATGGTCCCTGAAAGCAGGCAAGAGTTTGAATTCTGCTTCTGCCACAGCAGCTATGTGACTTTGCTAAACTGCAGATCTTCCTCCATCTGCAAAACGAAAATGATATTTTGGGAGTTGTTGGAAAGAAAACTTATGAGCATACATGTCTTAAATACAGACTTACCCACAAATGTTAAATTCTCCCCTCTCTACTTTCTTTCTGAGCCTCAGTGACTTTATCTCTAAAATGGGAATTAGAATATGCGTCTTATGTACTTCCAAAGATTAAATGATGTATGCAGAGGCCCCACGTAGAACCTGTCAAGCAGAGAATCCTATAGCTACCCTGTTATTTCTGAGTTAATTATACCCCCAAATTGTAGACGAAGATGCTAAGAAACCAAAACCAAGGATGCAAGAGTCCCATCTAGTGGTGGTTTAAGAAAAATCAAAAGACACTTGGAAATTGCACTGCTTAAATGGATGCCTAGGAAGCATTGGGCAGTTTTATTTTAGTTAATTCATTTCCCACCTTGGTAAAGAATGTAATGAGGCTCTCGTGGAAAAAGAAAGGAAAACCTTGAACTGGATTCCCCTTCATTCTTCCATTGTTCCAATGAAGCACAAAATCTCTTCTGAGTGGATTCACCTATTTCTGATCTCATTAAACCCATCATCTTAATGACCAAACTACTCTGTTCCTAGATTTTTTAAAGGATATGATTCAGCTCCTTAATTAGGTGTAATTTGATAGTGATGTTATAAAACGGATTTAGCAGACTTTTTTTTTAACGTTTTATGACTTAATCTTAACCAATCTCTTGCAAGAATAACCCATCAAATCATAAATCTATTGTGGTTCACATCAAATGAAACCAGTTATGACCTAGAGATTCTGCATTAAGGTAAGGGTGGATCTAAATATGGACAAAGATGGCAGACCAGGGGTATCACTCTGGGATCCCTGTACCTGTGCCCTTCTATAGAAGAGGTTCGACCTGATGTGACTATAAGAACCACTATTATATTCCAATTTCATGAGTTTAAAATAACATATTCATAATAATGAAAAGCAGACAATAAAATAACAGAAGACCATCAAAAACTCTATCCTATATAAACCCCCCATTGTTATCAAATTATTTTTCTATTTCACTCTTGTAAGTTTCATTGCCATAAAATGCAGGGTGACTGGTCCTATGTTAATAGTTTTAATGATTTATTATAACTCCTTGGGGTGATTTAACTGAGGAGATACGTTATTTTTGATAAATAATACATCATTAGAGAATTTTTATTACAAAAATTCACCCAACTGGAAATTATTCTTTTGAAATACAAAACCCTATTTGAAAACAAAGGATAGCTTTTATTATTTATTTGGGAGTTATGAAACAAACAATAAAAATGCACTCAAAATTTTGCTATAGTGAAAGTAAATATTTTACTATCTAGTGATAACTTAAGCCGTACAAAAAGTGGAACAATCAGAGTAGAATAGTTTATATTTTCCACATTTCTTAAAACTTAAATGAAGAAAATAAACATTACGTTTACTAAAAATAATCAAATCCAAAGAAAACAAGAACAAAAAAAACCTATTCTCTTGAAACCCTTGCAACCTGCTTCATATATTAAATGAAGTTATAAAGCTATCACAGATGAGTTCCAAGAAAGAGTACAATATGGAGAAATGGGTTTACTTAATGCAATCAAAAGCAGTAAATTCTTCACCTCAGATTACAGGGACATGGGCATTTTGAGCAAAATTAACCTAGACATGAGTTAACTAGGTTAATTTCCCTTAAAATTGTGGAATATGACATCTGGGCAAGACTGAACTTGGAAAGGCCACTTTATAGGATTAGTTGCTGTAGTATCATCTGATAGTAACAATTTCTACTGCAGGGAAAAGAATCCGAAATCCTTAAATAAGCGGCTGCTGATAGATAACAATTAATTAGGAGAATTCAAATCTGAAAGTTCACCTCATGTTCTGATGGAGATTTAGTAATCCTGATTCTCAAACAGAAATATAAAGAAGTCACCAAGGGTATTACTGACTTAGTGACTTCAGGCCCACTTGCCCTCCCCCAGAAAAAGACAAAGCAGTTTGATGTCATAATTATGTAATAGAAAAAGTGAAAGCATTAGAGTCAGGGAGACCTAAGGTCAAATTTTCTCTTTGATACTGACCTGCTCTTTGATAACAGAGTAGGATTTTAACACCTGTGGGTCTCAATGTTTTTGTCTGAAAAATGGGGATAATGTCACTTTCCTAACTGGGGATATTTTTTTAGAACTAAATAATGAGTTAATCTGAAATGTCTAACAGAGTATATGGTATATACAGGGTATTCAATAAATGCTACTTTTATTTTTTTCATCATTATTACTATATAAATTTTGGTGTAGGAAGTAGGAGTGGGTTTCCTGCTGTCATGACTTAAATGGTCATATCTGCATTAAAGTGGTATCTGCATGTCCTGGTCAAAATCTAAAAATTAAAAAGAAATCATCAAAAAAATAGCGAATACTTTTAGTTCCCCTCTATGTCCTTACTATGAGGAGATAATAATTCATGTTATCAATCAAGTCAGGCCACCTACATTCCTGAAACGACTTCTCAAGCTGCCTCTAGACTAGAATAATCAAGGCTCTCTAATTTTCCTTGTCATGGCTTATTAATGTGTTTTGCTTCAGTCACTTTCCTAAATGGCAGTGAGCTAACTGGAATGAGACTCTGACAACAGCAGGGAGGAGGGCTGCTGGTGGGCTGGCAGCTTGCATCTGATTATCAAGTGCTGTCTTGTGCCAAAGTCAATTCTAGGATGCCAGGTGTGCCTCCTGTTAGCACTCCCAGTCCATGACTTATGGAAGACGGATTTGGAATGAGTTTCTGCCCTGTACAGGCTATGTGCTCATTGATTTTCTATGCTGCTACCACCCAGGCATTCTACTCTTGCTGCCACCTTCTCACTTACTTTTCCAATTAAAAACATCTATATCTCCATCTAAGACTGCCTCAACTCTTTAGTTTGGACAAGCTGAAACTGTACTCAACTCATGTGACTTTCTGATTGTCTCTTTCTTGGCATTAGTTTGTTTTGATCAGTTCTTACAGAATGTCCTTTCCTTTCTCTGCATGCCCTGATCCATGGGCTGCAAATTCAAATGTCCACAGGGACTGGGCAGGAAAAATAAACTGGTAATGTGGGCAACAGTGTGAAAAGGGCTGCAGTAAGCTAGAGAGCACATGTCTAAACATGGCTGCTGCTATTCAGTCCCAGTTGAAGGTTGCCAATGCAAGCATATGAGTCCCTGCTTTACCAAGTCTTCTGATTTTTCACTGCCTATTTTTTAATCAATGAAAAAATATTAGCATATATACATATGCAAATTCACACATGTATTTTTGTGTATATAATCTATATCTTCTTATCTATCTAGCTAGACAGTTTTCATGTCTCAGATAACTCCATCGTACTCAGTAGATAGTCAAATATAAAAAATGCAAGAAGTAGTTTTGTATACAAATATGGAAAGTAGTTGAAACTTTGTAGTTCTGAAGATTAAGAGCCCAGGATAAAGAAATTTTAATTCAAGAAAAACATACACACACACTTATACACACTCACACAATACTTGAATCCATAGTATATTCTACAGTGTCCTTGGTTCTCAGAAAATATCCAAACTTTTTGTTTATTGAATAAAAAAAAAAAAAAAAAATCAAAGATATATGTTGACTTTAAATTTAAGATACTTGTTAACACATATTGTTCCATGGAGCCTCTTAGGATCCCTACGGGGTAGATAGCATATACTTTTTTTTTTTTTTTTTTTTTTTTTGGAGACGGAGTCTCGCTCTGTCACCCAGGCTGGAGTGCAGTGGCCGGATCTCAGCTCACTGCAAGCTCCGCCTCCCGGGTTCCCGCCATTCTCCTGCCTCAGCCTCCCGAGTAGCTGGGACTACAGGCGCCCGCCCCCTCGCCCGGCTAGTTTTTTTGTATTTTTTTAGTAGAGACGGGGTTTCACCGTGATAGCCAGGATGGTCTCGATCTCCAGACCTCGTGATCCGCCCGTCTCGGCCTCCCAAAGTGCTGGGATTACAGGCTTGAGCCACCGCGCCCGGCGATAGCATATACTTACATCAATTTGCAGTAGAGAAAATCTAGAATTTAGAGAGGTAATATAACTTACTCAAGCTAAATGTGAGGTCAGAAACTGACATAAGCTTCCTTCATTCCTGGTGCGATATTCTTTCAACCAGGTAGTAAGTGCTTGACAGGGCTATTTGTCTTATTATTAAAAGATTAACTCTATATTGCTTACTTCAGATTATGACTCTCTTTATGGTACAATAATATCATTATTAAGGGACTTTCTGCCCACAAGATGGTTTCCCAAAAATTGTAAAGAAATGTTCTTTTTCTTCTACCAGTTGTTCTGATCACATACAATATATAGATGTGTTCCATATAACGAGGATATGAACCCATTTCCTTATAGATTTCAAGGACTATGTGAAGGAGCATGGCTTTCACTCACCACTTCCACTGAAAACAAGTATTTCTAGCTTTGAATAACTAATTGGGAGGAAAAAGGAATGCTCCAGAGTAGAATTAAATGTTAAGACTCGAGAATTAGACAATGGTGAGGGAAATAGAATGAAGGGAAGGTAAAAATAAGAGATGGGAAATAAAAGAGTAACAGTATCAATAAAGGTATGAAGGAGGCAGATATATTGATAATATGATAATTTAGTAATTATATATTTAATATTTCATTTTATAATGTATACTATATGTACAATAAAGTGAATTATCAAAACAGAAAGTGATTTTGGGAACTCCCAGAAGTTACAGTTAGTGTCAGAGTGACAGCAGCTTTGTGCGCTGTTTCCCATAAACTTCACAGTCGGCGAATCTATTGCAATGAGTAAATTTAATTTATTTTCTATCCGATATCTATTAACATTTCTTTTTGATACAGCATTCTGATTTCCTATGGATAACTACCTAATGTACACTTTTCATTTATACGGATTTGCTCTTGCTGACTTAACTCCTGTTGAATTGATGAATGTAGATGTTCACTTACTTATTTATCATCTATGTATGAACGTATAAGCCAATTTATATTTATTTTTCTATATATCTGTCTGTATCTACTACCTCTGTACAGGACTTTCTAAAATCAGTTTCCACCTACTTATTGTCTCACACCTATATAAAATTTTTAAGCACTGTAGTTTTATATGACAAAATCTGGCAATGGATAATCTCTTTTCATCTCTTTTTCTTTTATTATTTTTTCTTTTTTGCATCACAACTGTGTTATTTCACATAAACAGTTATATTAAACAGAGTCATATTGATACGTCATAAAAATTGTATATGGAAATATGTCTTTATATATTCACATATTCATATATTCAAATACATACTTCATAGTTTTACAGATTCATTATTTGTACTATTCTAATACAGTTTCTGTTCACTACTGTCTTCCCCTTTAAATAATCCAACTCATGATTGCTATTATGCAGAAAACTATACTATAATCTATAGTGGATTATAGTGGAAATGGAAACTGCATCCCACTATTTATAGATAGTATAAGTAATACTGATAGATTGTATAAGTATTGGAATGGATTTTTTTTCTTATCCAGCATGCATCAATCTATGCGATTAACAAATATTTATTAGGTACCTATTATATGCCAGACATTCTTCTAGGCTTATGAGTTTTAAAAAAAGTGAGATAAAAATACCTGCCTCCTGAAATTTAAAATAGAGTGGGAAAAACAGAAATTAAACAGAATATATATCTTTATATCATGTGGGAAGATGATCTATACAATGGAGTACAAAAATAGAGTAGGGCCAGGGGAGCAGAAGAGTCAGAAATGGTGAGACAGTTTGCAATTTTAAGTCAGGCTGGAAAATAGGTCTCTTTGAGAAGATGATAATTGACAAAATCACTGAGGAGGTGAAGGAGTGAGCCACACAGATACCTGGGAAAAGAGAGGTGCAGGCACAAGGAAACAAAGCTGATAGGTGAATGTCTGGCATGATCATGGAATCAAAGAAAACCAGTGTGGATGGTAGAGAGAGAGTGAGCGATAGGAAGGGTAGCAGAAGTTCAACTTGGAGGGGAAGGGAGTTCAAGTCACCTAAGGGCTTACTGATTTCTGAGGGGTCTTTGGCTTTTACCTTGAGTATATTGGAGAGCCAATAAAGTTTGGAGCACAGGTATGACATTGATCTGACCTACATTTTGAAAGGATCCTTCTGACCGCTAATGTTGGGCATAGAGTTCCATAGGTGGAAGCAAAAGTCGATTAAGAGTCTAGTGTAGTACTGTGGACTGATTGACTGTGTTACCTCCAAATTCATATGTTAAAGTTTTAACTCCTCATGTGGCTATTTCTAGAGATGGATCCTTTAGGGGAGTAATTGAGGTTAAATATGGTCATAAATTTATAGAAGAATTTGTCATAGTGGTGGAGTCCCGATCAC